CTACCCACACAGACCTCTGTGAACACTCACTCCAGCAATCTCACAGCAGCACAAGCTGCTCCTCCTGCCTGTTATCACAATCCCACCCTTGTGCCAGCTCTGTTTGGGCACAGGAAAGCAGAATAAATGCTTTTTCTCTGCTTTCACAAGGTCTGACAGGGAAAGAGGGGTATGAACACAGCTGTGTGCTTTGCTGGGAGCAGGCTGAAGCTTGTGGCAGGAGGTGAAAGTGCCTCTCCTGCCCTTCTCAGCCAACACAGCCAGAGCTGCTCAGCCCATAGTGGCCCAGACAGAGCCCAGCCAAGCTCAGTTTATTCACAAGAAGCTCCTGGTGAGGCTGGACTATTTTTTTACATCTTCCCTTTGTGCCTGGACAGAGCTCTTACCCCAGCAGAGAGGAGAAAAAGGCAATACTGACCAGGTAGCTGATGTAGGGCAGGTACTGGTAGGTGAGGACAGGCTCTCCATACAGATATGCCACGTGCACGAGGCAGGCCAGCACTGGCTTGGACACCTGATCTCCCAGCACGGGCCGCTTCTGGTAGATATTTCCTGTGCTCAGGGGACTGCTCTCATCGCTGCTCGGTACAAACTGCTGCCTGGTGGGGCCTGCTCAGGGAACAACACACCAAGAGCTGAAGCAGCAGCCCCACCCAAGCAGACAGACGGGGGCACAGCCCCCCTGGACCCCGGGAGAGGCGTTATTACCGACGTAGCAGGACGTGAGCAGCCGGAGCAGGTTCCTGGCGATGAAGCGGGACGTGACGGTCGGGCCCAGCTTGGCTGAGAGCCACCTCACCATCTTACAGGCTGTGTCTGCAAAACAACAGCAGTCCCAAGGACAGCGCCCAGCACGGCACAGATTAGCTGTCTAACAGTCTGGCAGTCCCTGCTGCACCAACCCTGACTCTCAGAGCCACATGCAGTCCTGGTCTCTCACCCTGGTTTCATCACTGTCCCCAAGCTGGGACCACAAACACCCCCAAATCTGGATCTGCTTCTCCCCAGCCAGGACACTGACAGGGTCTTACCCAGCAGTATGGTCTGCTCTTTGTCATCAGGGTGATCTGGCAGCTCCTCTCCCTCCCCATCCTCTGGCTCGCTGCTGTCATCAGCCAGGGTGACATCCACAGAGGCCCCAGCAGCATCCACGACCACCGTCAGCTCCGCATCGACCACCGCGTCCTCGTGCTCCTCTTCCTCGTGCTCCTCTTCCTCCTCCTCTGACTCCTCGCTCTGCTTCAGGTCCTGGCTGCTGTCCATGGACTTCAAGCTGCTCTTGTCCTTCTGGGAGTCCCCATCTGCAGGTCTGTCCTCGCCCAAGGACACCTCGCTGGCGCTGCTCTTGTCACTCAGCCGGCCGAGGCTGAGCGATTCCTGCTCCTGGGGCTGCAGGGATTCCCCAACGTAGAGACCACTCTGGAAGTCCTCACCCTCGGGCAGGTAGGCCTGGTCATGGAAGCTGACCCCAGAGGTGTAGTCCAGGAGGTCAAGCGCAGCAGAGCTGTGCTCCACGTCCATCTTGATCTCCTCCCCAAACACACACGACACCGGGCTCTCCCCTCCGCTCTCATCGTCCTCAGCGGTGCCGAGGAAGGATTTGCTCTCCTCCCGCGAGCTCTCGATGCCCACGAGGATCTGCAGGATGTGGGGCAGCAGGTTCAGGAGGAAGGACTGCAGCCCCAGGCGCACGATCAGCTGGGCCACAAAGCAGTCTGTGTACAGGTAGAACCTGCCGTGGCGGGAGCAGGGCGTCTCGTAGGCTCCGATCAGGGGTTTCAGCAGGTACTTGTTGGCATTCTTGGGCCCGAGGGATTTAGCTATGGGCTCAAAGAGGTACCACGCTGCGTAGACAGCGGTGTTTTCCTCGGACATCAGAGATAATATGAAAGGCAGAAGAATCTCCAGGCCCTCAGGAGTGATTTCAGCGAGGATCCCCTCCAGCTGCTGCCACAGCTGGAAAACAAGCTCCCGGCCTTGCCCTTCATCCTCGATCTTCTTTGCCTGATAGGTGAAAATGAACTTGTGCAGAGCTGGGAAGTACGTGGGGAAGGGGACAGTGGAGCTGAAGGGGCTGAGGAGCTGCGTGGGACAGGGCGGGGGGAGGCCCTGGGAGATGGGTTTGTATTCAAACAACTGCACTGCGCCCTTGCCCGGCCTGCTCTTCAGCAGCTTCTCCACGGGCACGCTCAGCTGCAGCAGGATGTGCAGCACGTGCTGCAGCGGGGCCGGGATCTCCTTGGGATGGTAACGGCAGAGGTTCCTCACCATCAGGAACCGCTCCAACAGCGACGCGTCGGGCTTCGAGGGACGAAGCCTCGGTGCAAATATAATCTCAGCTACCAGGATGCCCAGAGCCTGCATGTCCCTCTGGAAGAGGTCTGAGAGACCCAAGGGTGGCTCTTCCCACGGCTGCTCCATCAGCTGCATCTCGCTGCTTAAGCCTTTAACCAAGAAATTGTCCAGTTTCTCCAGTTCCTCCAGGGCCTGGAGCGGGTTGAAGCCCTCAGGAAGCGTGATCTTCATGTCGAGCTGATCCACAGCCCCTGCCCTGCTCCGACGGAGCGGCCGGACCCCCGAGGATTTGCCCTCGGTGACATAAGCAGGGAGGGTGGAGGGCTGTGCTGGAGGCACAGTGGCACAGGGGTGGTCAGGGGCTCTCCCAGGAGCAGAGATGGAATCCAGGGCTTCTGTGCCTTGCTCCAAATCATCCTCACCAGCTATGGGTTTCTCCCCAGACCAGGTGGTTTCACTGGGAGTAGCCTCCAGGACCAGCCCGTTGACTGCATCCGTCACCTGGCCCTGGATGTCCTCCAAAACCACGGTCTCCCGGATGTTCTGGAGCAGAGGCCGGGCAATGGCTGGAGCTTCAGCAGGAGTGTAGGCAGGTCCCACCATGCGCCTGGGATGGGGCTGGTCAAAGAGCTGCACGACCCCGTAGGTGGTCAGGTGCGTGTGGTTGTCAACCAAGTGGAGGCAGACGTTCTTCTCCTTGACTGCATCCTTCCCCAGCAGCTTGTAGCCAAAGGTGAGGTCAATCCAGTGGTGCAGGTCCTGGGAGACCTCCCGGCTCTCCAGCAGCATGCGGTGCACTTCGATGAACTCCTCGTAGGAGCTGCACCACGACGGCACGTCCAGGTCGGGCATGTCGGGGTGGATGGAGCGGAAGATGGAGGGGTCAGTGTAAAACTCTGGGATGCACTCGTCGGGCGTCCAGCTCTGCATGCGCTCCATGCTGGCTGGGTACTCGTTGGGCTCCCACTGGGACCTCACGTGGCAGCACAGCACTGCCTTGGGTGTCCTGCGGGCCGTGTACACGTAGTAGGTGATATCTGAGAGGACGTCTGAGATGTGATGGGGGACGTGGAGCTGCTCCCCGCTCGAGCCCCCCGCAACAAACGCCTGCTTGGTCATCTCGTAGGTGAAGTCCAGCTGCTTGTCCCCCTTGTTGAGACGGAACTTGGACTTCCTTAGGTCCCTGAACTTGCCGTTTTTGGTAGTGAAGTCCACCACCCACGGAAGGACCGGGTGGTAATTGGGGTCTCCCATTCTCCTCCCAGCCAGGCTGTTCAGACGCATAAGGTAGTCGAAGTTGCTGACCTGCCCGTGCACCCACTGCAACACCAGGTCTCGGAGGTCCTTCTGGCAGGCACTGCACGTCCCCTCCTGCCTTTGCACACAGCTTTGCTTGCTCCCTCGTTCCAGACCACTCTCCAGCTTCTCCTCCTCCTCCTCCCCCGGTGCCTCGTACCCCCTGAGGTTCACACGCAGCCGGCTGCACAGCTTCTCATCCACAGCCACATCCCAAAGGGAGAAATCTCCACAAGCCAGACCCACCTGGTGACAAGCCTTCATGGCCTGCAGCACGTGGAAGAGGAGGAAGAGGATCTTGGCGTGGCTGTTGGTGAGCTTGGCCGGGCTGAAGGTCACGACGTCGTGCAGGCAGTACTGCACATAGGGGAAGATGACATACAGCATGTCGGCCGACTCCAGCAGCGCCTCAGCCTGCAGCACGTTGGGGCACAAGGACGCCCCTTTGGCCGCGCTCTCCTTGGCAGGGGACGTGCCAGGCACGCTCCTGCCCACCTGCAGCACGGGGCAGCCGTAGGCTCTGTGCAGGGCAGCCCTCAGCGCGTCCAGCGCCGGCGCCGTGGGCGGCGCGTCCGGGCGCCGGTAGGGCCGCGCGTACCTCCCGTGAGCCCGGCCCCACAGGTTGTGGTAGTTCTGGGTGGCCACGCTCTGCATGAAGCCGTGCAGGGTCTGAGCGCCGCCTCGCTGCTGCTGCTGCTGCTGCTCGGGGGGCTGCGCCCGCAGCAGCGCGTACCCCAGCCGGGCCTTCCGCAGCCCGTGGATCTCCACCCGCGTCCAGCCCGCCGGCAGCTTCTGCACCGAGGGCTGCAGGAAGGTCCTGAGCTCCACCTCGCTCAGCCCCTCGGGCCGCGGGCAGGCCGGCGGCAGCACCCGGCGCTCCTTGAGGCTCTGCAGCCATTTGGCCGGCACGAAGGCGGCGACGTGCGTCCTCTCGGGGGCCAGCTGCCGGCGGTCGATGCTCAGGTCCTTCTCCACGCTCTGCAGGAAGCTTTCCATGCTGGATCCTGCTGGGAGAGAGGCGGCCCAGACGGGCTGTGAGGGAGCAGGGCACAGAACCACCCTGCCCGCCCCGGCGAGCGGCCAGTCTCACTTCCCCATCGGCACTCGGGTAAAAATAGAGGTGGTTTGAGCAGCCTGCTCTGTGTGTGGGGGGTGAGATGGGACCTGTGGGACCTGTGCAGGGTGACATGGTGGGGCTCCCACAGCCACACGATGGGGACTGGCACGTCCCAGCGCTGGGGGAAGGGACATTACAGGACTTCTGCAGGCCCAGGGGTGCTGGGGGGACACACAATGGAGCATCCACAGCCAGGGAGCGGGACGGGATGGCACCTCTTCAGCTGCTGGCTCGAGGGACACAAAGGGACACAAAGGGACATTGACAGCGCCAAGAAGTGAAAAGGACCGTGATGGGATGCGGGGGGGGCATCTGCAGCCGCAGGGCTGGCACCGGGGGCACACCGGCAGCTGGAGGCGTACACGAGGGCACCGCCAGCATAACCCCGGTGCTGGGGACACGACGGGACCTCCGCAGTGCCCGGAGAGGCCGCGGGGGCGGCCCAGGCGATGCTCCCAGCACCGAGCACGGCCACGGCCGGCCAGGCGGCCCCGGGGCCTCGCTACCGGCGGGGGGGACGGCAGAGCCGGGCCGAGCCCCGCGGCTCCGAGCAGCCCGCATCCCCACCGCTCCCTGCGGCGGCCGCGGCCCGGGGGGGGCCGGGCATGGGCCGCGCCGGGCCGTGACGTCAGCGTGGCGTCAGCGTGACGTCAGCGGCGCCCCGGGCTGTCAGCTGGAGCCGGGCGAGCCGCGCTGACGAGGCAGCCGGTCTTAAAGGGGGCCGCACCCGCCGAGGGCGGGCCCCGCCGGCGGCAGGTGAGTGCCCGGGGCAGCCGGCGGGGGGAAGCGAGGCCGCTCCAGCCCCGCCGCCCCGGGACCCTGCCGCCCTCTGCCCCGCCAGGCACCGCACGCTACGGGAGCTGCCCGTGAGCCGAGCCGGGTCCTCCCGCCGCCGGCGGAGTGATGCTGGGCTCCCGGTGCCGGCGGACACGGCGGTACCCACGCGGCTCACGGCCACGACAGCCGCGGGCGGCCGGACCGGCGCGGCCCCTTTAAGGGCACCGGGGGCTCCCGCCGGGCAGCGCCGCATGGCGCGGCGGCGCGTGGGAGTCACGTGGGCGGGACGTGGCGGCCGCTGATTGGCCCGCCGGCGCCGGCCCGCTGCAATCAGCTGTTACTGGGACGAAGGGCAGGAAACGGCCTTAAAGGGGCAGCGCAGCGCGGAGCCTCGCCCCGCGGGGCGGCGGCGGCAGCGCCGGGAGTGCCGGCGGGGCAGCGGGGGAGCGCGCCGGGCCGGGCCGCGGCTGCGCTGCGCTCTGCCCCGCCGGCACCCGCGGCGGGCGCGGCCCCTTTAAAGAAGTTGTCCAGTCATGGCGCGGCGCTGCCAAGTCATCGGGGTCAGCCGAGTTCCTGCGGCCACGCCCCCCGCGCCCGCCCATTGGTGCTCGCGGAGAGCGCTCACTTCTGATTGGTCGAGGACTTAGAGCAACTTCTCGGAATCGGGGCTGTGTCCCCAGCCCCGGCACTGGGAGGCGCCGCCCGAGGGCGGGCGGGGGCGGCCGGGCCGTGCCCGCGGCAGCGCCACGCCCCGCCCGGGGCCCGCGGAAGGGTCGAGCCCCTTCGGAGCCGCCCTGCCCCCGCCGCCCCTTCACCCGCTCGAAAATGCCAACTCACAGCACGCGGGGCACGCCGGGAGCGCCGCTCCGCACTACAACTCCCGGCGTGCCCCGCGGCGGGACGGCCCCGCCGTTCCCAAGGCAACCGCCGCCCGGCCGGGAGGGAGCCGAGCTCTCCCTCGGGGGGTGGGCGGGACAGAGCGCCGTCCTCACCTTCCCATTGGCTGAGCCGCGGGCCGCGCCGGACCGCCATTGGCGGGAGCGGGTGGCAATCGGGGCGCGGGGGCGGGCGCGGCGCGCGCCGGCGGT